TAAAGTGCTTTGGTGAGCACTTTGGCCAGCTTTGTCAGTGCTTTTGGGTGGATCCCATCTGACCCCATGGATTTGTGTGCTTCCAAGTGGTGCAACAGATCTCTTACCATTTCCTCTTAGGTTACGGGGGCTTCATTCGGTTCCCCATCCCTCTCTTACAGCTCAGGGTCTGGGCACCCGGAGGACAACTGGTCTTACTATGAAAGACTGAGGCAAAGAAGACATTAAGTTCCTCAGCTCATCCTTAGTCACCATGTTTCCCCCTCCATCCAATAAAGGATGGAGGTTCTCCTTAGCTCTCTTTTTGTTTCTAATGTAGAGAGATTTTTTACTGTGTTCTGCAGCAGTAGCCAGATTGAATTCTAGTTGGGCATTGGCTCTTCTGATTATCTCTCTGCATAACTTTACAAAATCGTTGTGTTCCTCCTGAGTGGGCCACCTCTTCTTCTGAAGGTCATAAACTCTCCTTTATTTCCAGCCAAATCTCTGTTTGGCCAGGCTGGTCTTCTTCCCCACTGGTTTGTTTTTTGGCACGTGGGGACAGCCTGTTCCTGTGCCTTTAAGATTTCCTTCTTGAAGAATGTCCAGCTTTCCTGGTATCTTTTGCCCCTCAGGACTGCCTCGCAAGGGATTGTCAACCAGGCTCCTAAACAGGCCAAACTGTGCTCTCCAGAAGTCTGAGGTAGCAGTTCTGCTGATCCTGCTCCTTACTTCTCTTGAGAATCAAAACCTCTATCATTTCATGGACTGTTTCCTCTCTGCTGTAGTGTATTCCCAGCAGACATCTGGTAAGTTGAAGTACCCCCACAAGAACAAGAGCAGGCAATCTCAAGACTTCTCCCAGCTGCTTATAGAATGTTTCGTCTGTCTCTTCATCCTGGTTTAGGCAGTTTATAACAGACTCCTACTACGGTATCTGCCTTGTTGACCTTTCCCCTGATTCTTACTCATAAACGCTCAACCCTGTTGTCACCATCATTAAGATCTGGACAGTCTGTACCATACAGGGCTGCCTCACCGCCTCTCCTTCCTTACCTATCCCTCCTGAAGAGTTTATAACCATCCAGTGATGTGAGTTATCCCACCACTTTTCCATAATGGCAACTATGTCATAGTTTTCCTGCTGCAATATATATAAAATATGTATTATTTTACTTACAAGTAGATAAAAGGGGAAATAGGAACCACTGCCTTGAGAAGTCCCATCTAGTTTTGGCTTTGCTAGTGTTTCTCATCGAGGCGCTAAAAGGCAAGTCAGCGACTGGTGTAAAAGGCAAAAGATGAAATATATCTGAGGAAAGAGAGAGATTGAAAAAGGAGTTAGTTAATAAGGATCTTGTTAAGCTTTGGAAGATTTTAAAACTGGGTCGTTGAAGTGACATCTTTTTGTTCTATTTATGAAAGATTGATAATCTGGCAACATCAAAAGTTAATATTTATTATGCAAGGTGGATAGATGGCAGATAGAAGTAATACTTTCTGTGGAGTTTTTGGGGCCATTTGGGCTTTTTGTCTTTCTGTTTGTTTTCTTTTTATGTAGATTTACAAGTAAAATACATTAAAATTGTCCTTGCTTGGAAATGTCTGGTGATCATATACAGTGTTTACCCACTCATGCCAGTTTGAGCTCCACATTACCCCTCCGTTAAGATGTTCAGTTACTGTTACTGAGAAATTTGTATTTATTCTTAAATTTTTAAGTGTTGCTCAACAACTTGACAATAGTAACTCAAACTGTAGGACTGACTTGGCTGTTGGAATGATGTCAACATTATTTTAAAATAATGTTTAGAAGAATTAAGAATGGATTCAAGATATCCAATCTTAAGATTTGTGATGAAACAATTCAGGTTAAAAAAACAAAACAAAACACTACACAACCCTCTTCTGTGTTGAAGGCCAGGGAAGTTCTCTGAGGTTACTTGGTGGCTGCACGACTACTGAGGCTAAATAGCCCTTGGAGGAGACGATCCATCAAGGAACCAGAAAGCAATGATCCTTTTTCTCTGCATGTTTTTCTACTGCTGATCAGCACAAAACGTTGTTATTTGGAGATTTTCTAGTAGCTCTCCAGCCTGCATAATGCTACCATTCACAAGCTTCCAACGGGAGAAAGAGCAAGTGTGCCAAGGCGGCCAGAGCTCCTAGTGTTGCTCAGGGTGCCCTTGTTCTGGGCAGTGACACAAGTGAAGGAACAGCAAAATTCTGTTCCAGGGTTCTCATGAGGGCTCTCATGATGGAGGAGACATGTTGTGTTAACCCTTGGATTGTAAGAAAATCTGAAGTAGAGCAGGCAAATTAGGCATTAGATAGCGTTTGGCAAACAGTGGTGGAAAGGATTTCTGTATGTTTAGCAACGGGGACATTGTAAATGGCGGCACCAGAGTTGCATGGTCAAAGGAAATACAGCTGGGTTACAGCAGAAAGCACAGCCCCTCAAAACCGGAATTTTCTCAGTACATGCTAGGCACTATCTTGATTGATGCAAAAAACTACCATGTTATATATATTTTTTTAAAGATAAATCAATAAAATGTAAATTCCATTCACAAAATTATGAAAGTCAAAATCGTTGTTCCTATGCCAGCACTTAGCTTCTTAAACTTGTGTAATATTTTATATAGCTTTGTATGATGTAACAGTTTCCTTTATGATGTTGTATTTTTTAATGCATATCTATGTATATGATTTAAATTCATAATTTAGGTGAGAATTTTATCATGTGTCTTTTAATCTCCTTACAATGTAAGTCACAACTGTTATTTCACAGTAGAGTATTGCCTTGTGGCAATAGCTTATTTTTTTAGTGAAACTTCTTTTACCAAAACCAGTAGTGATAGTAATTCTTTTGAAAGAACAAATTTAAATTTGATGGTGTTGCTGTTATGACAAGCTCTCCCTTATTTAAAGTGTTCAGCAGATACGAGCTGCATATTGTTTTTGGTGGGTGATTTTTCACATAATTCTATCATAGGTGGAACTCTATGGTATTTTAACACGTGAGGTCAGTCTCCTTTCATGGAATGCAGAAGGTCTCTGTCTTATGAGGATGATTTTTTTCCTTAGTCAGCCAATCAGAAGCAAAATGGAATGTGGCTGCTTTTTGCGTATAACAAAATACTCTAACCTCTACTTAGTTAAGGGGGCCTGCAAAAAAGATGGGGACAAACTTTTTAGCAAGGCCTGTTGCTACAGGACAAGAGGTAATGATTTTAAACTAAACAAGGGTGGATTTAGATAGATGTAAGGAAGAAATTTTTTACAATGAGGCTGCTAAAAAGCTGGCACAGGTTGCCCGTAGAGCTGGTACAAGACCCATCCCTGGAAACATTCAAGGTCAGGCTTAATGGGGCTTTGAGCTACCTGATCTAGCTGAAGATGTCCCTGCTCACTGCAGGGGGTTGCACTAGGCAACCTTTAAAGGTCCCTTCCAGTCAAAACCGTTCCATGGTTTTGTTTTACCGGCTTTTTTATTATTTCCTCTTACCATTATGGTCATGTAAAAATGGAAGCTGTTGTCTTTTAAATTTCCTTTCTCTTCTCATCTCGTTCTCATGTGTCTGTCCACCCTGGGAATTAGAATAAGCGAATTATGTTTAATTTCTTTTAAATGCAGCTCAAGCAAAGTGGATTTGTCAGTCTATTCAGCTAGTGTGGACTGTGATAAATTTTATTTCAGTCTCACCTAAAAATTTACCCAATGTTTATGCCTTGTGTGCATTTTATATTTTGTGGTTTTAGCGTAGTTAGGTCTCATTACAATCTTTTAGGGAGTACTTTTAGCAATATATAAGTCAAGTTTAAACATAGTTCCCAAACTTCGTTTTGAAGCCAAAGTAAATGAGGTCTTGTAGTGCCACATTCCACTGATTCTGACATCAGAGAAATAGCTGCCATAACAGATTTTAATTTAGAAGTGCCTAAATTTTTATATCCCTATGAGAAGCAAGTCTGGGGTCTAACATGGAGGAGCATTAAGCTAACAATTCAAGACACTAACAAATTTTTCATGAAAACTTTCTCCCCCTCTGGAAAAAAAAAACACACCAAGGAACTGGATTAAGGCACAGAGAGCTGGGACTCCATCAGTTTGGCCTTGTATGGCTGAGCTGAGCTTTGCCAGGTAGAGAGAAGATTCACTTTTTGCTGTTGGTGCCTTTCTCTACGGTGGCAGTGGGAGACTGGGAAAAGCTGCCAATTAATGTGAACTCGTCTGTGGTTTTGCTTGTCAGCTCTTTCACCATCCCTAGATTTTAAGAGGAAAAAGAATGTAGTGTGATGTCTTAAAATCCAGAGTAAATCTTTTCCCCTCGTTTTTTATTACATGTTTTATAGTACTGATTCTTCCAAATTTACAATTAAAGAGTCTTCATCTTGTTTTATTTCAGATTCTTCTCATTCTTTTCATCGAGATGAGACTATAGTTATTGCTCTTGCATCTGTGTCTGTACTGGCTGTTTTGATTGCTGCTCTCTTCTTTGGATACAGGATGCTTGCAGGTAGGGTATGATGATACTGTTTTTTAACTGTTCTTTTGACTGTTTCTCGAAGTTACACTTATGTCTTCTGTTCTCCCCAGTCCCTATTACATGTCTGTACATAATACTCCCCTTTCTTCTCCCTGACACTTCATGGTGATAACTCTTTCATGCCAGTCTGGAGAGATTGACGATTTGTTCAAGCTGACATTCTGGGACCCATTTCTCTTCAACAAATCCTCTACTCAACACAGCTTAAGTGAGGTTGTGAAGATGCTTTATAGTTATCACCAGTGACATTCCATTATCAAAGATAGCCTTAAGTTTGTAACTCTCGGCACCTTCACTGCTGATTTTACTGGTTCCAATAAGTTTTTACAGGATTCGTTTTTCTACTTACACCCTTGACTACAATATGTGTTTCTGCAAAGTCCCAAGTAAGTTGTTTTCACTTGTAGCATGGCAAATAAAAGAAACTGTCTGATTTCCTCCTCACTTCCTTCCCCAGGAGACCGTAAACAGGGTTTGCACAGTATGAACATGATGGAGGCGGCAGCGTCAGAGCCCTCATTGGATCTGGATAATCTAAAGTTGTTGGAGGTAAATGTTCAGCTCGACTTCCTCGTCTTCATTTTTATTCAATGTAACATTTGTGGTCATATCACCTTCCAAGTGTAGTTACAGAAATAAATATATCCATGCTCCCATAATGTTTTCTAAATCACAGTTAAAAGATGAAACGAAAAGAAAAAATAATTTTAAAAAGATTGCCGTGTTACTAACAAAAGAAGGCAAGATGTAATATTGTTGTTATTAGCTAGAACATGTTCTCATTTGAAAAGAAAATACTGAGCACTGGGAGGTAATGGGGGAAATTGTATCAAAAGATCCATCTTTTTGCTTGACACTGATCACTTTAAGTACAATGTCCTACCATAGTAATTTGACATGCTTTAGTAACATTATTGGAATATAGGATTTACTGCAGATAGGGCAGTGTATTTCAGTAGTGGTGCCTTTACGTGTAGTCATTTTTCACAGTGGGGTACTCTCTGTCTCCTTGGCAACTAGAAGCCAGCCAGAACTTTCTGCTCAGCTTGGTATTAGATGCATCGTCAGGAAACTGCAAAGTGTTGTGCTTTCAATTGGTATGCATGATAGAACTTACAGAACTTTTAAAAGCTTTTAGCCAGAAATAAATCAGTAGAATGACTGAGAGAAATTCAGAGAGCGATACTTTTGTTCTTTTTTTTTCCCATTAGAAATCACACCTAGAGGTGCAAACTGCAGCCGTGCCGTGTGGTCTGGGCTAATGATGGCAGCAGAGCAATCAGTGTCAATGTGCTTTTATCAACAAAACAGTACGGGAGGCAGAGTTTGCAGGGCCGTAAGGATGTGTTTTGTAGAAGTGTGCAAAGCCCCAGATGGAACTCCTCATACTGATAGTCTTGGAAAAAACAGTGACTTTGTTGGCGTAGATGTCTGCAATGGGGTCTTCTGTCCTCTTTCTTAAATCCTGAGGAGCTCACTCCTCACCCCACAGTCATCATGTGTTGGAAAACAAATTGTCTTAACTGTTCCTCTGGTTTCACATCTCTGTGGGTAGATGACGTTCTGGGTTTGTGACTCGCTGCTGCTTTGCAATCTATTGACTTGAAAGGACTGAGAAACAGATAATCTTGTCTGCTAAAAGATACTTTGTTGTTGAAAACTTTCCTATTAGACACTTTTCTCTTCTAAAGAAGCATTACTTCTGTTGTCCTGTTTCCTGTTCCTTCTCCTTTTGCAAGTACTTAAAAAGTAAAAGGATGCCATGAAGTCCTTACAGTTTCATGTCTGGGTATTCCTGAAAATTATTTGAATTAAATAGATGCTTAAATTCTTATGTAGTTTTATGTAGAATTTTTTGAGCTTTGGAAGCTAGGACTCTTCCTGAAGTTGGTCCTGTGTTTTGGTTTAGAGCAGAGATCACATCTTTCTTCAGTTGCCATGGAGACTGGAAAGGCCATTCTGTGAAGACTGTCTGACATAGTGGGGACTAGAAGTAATTAATTATTCCTTTCTGTTAAAACCTGTTTACCTTTTGTGGTATCTATTTTGTACTAGAAATGCATATATCGTTGCTACTAACCTGAAAGGTACAGCTCATAAATCTAGATCAAACCCGTAATGTTTAGCTTAATGCCCGTGACCACAGGATTGATCTGGATTTAACTGAAGTTGAATCTGGAGTTAATTAAAATTGATCACGTAAAAGCTGTATGTGTTTAGTAGGCGAAAGTTTAATAAGAAAATTAGCAGCACAAAACACATGGATTTTATTGATTCTGTATATAAAACTGCTGAATAGATTATTCATGACTTATTTATGGGTTTTCAAACTAGAGATCAATTTAGTAAGACTAAAGTTGGCCTGTGCAGATGTTTCCAGCTCCAAATAGCTTTTATGACAGCGTTCTAATTCTAGTTTTCCATACAAAATATTCACTTTTTTCATAGTACAAGTCAGTATAAAGGTTGACATACAATCTTTGTAGAGTGAAAACTTGGATTTTATCGTCACTTATTATTTAGTGAACTAATTATTTACAATTATTTTTCAGTTAATTGGCCGGGGACGATATGGAGCAGTATATAAAGGCTCCCTAGATGAACGTCCAGTTGCTGTGAAAGTCTTTTCTTTTGCCAATCGTCAAAACTTTATCAATGAGAGGAATATTTACAGGATTCCACTGATGGAACATGACAATATTGCCCGCTTCATTGTGGGGGATGAGAGATTCACTGCAGATGGCCGTATGGAATATTTATTGGTGATGGAATATTACCCTAATGTAAGTACTTCAAAGAAACCAGTCTGATTTTTTTGTGGCTATTCTTAGAAGTCTAAACCAAGGATGTGCTTTACTATTTGCCAGTGTTTTTCATTGCTGCTTCTTGCACAGTAATGTAAAAATAATCCATATAAATTAAAATTTTAATGAACCTTAGTGTGGTTTACTGTAATACCCTTTAAGATTTCCCAGTTAGTGCTTCCAAATATAGTCTCACAAATTCTTAGCTGTAGTATCTGCTCTTGGTTATGGTGCAGGGGTTTTTTTGCCAACTGTGCAGTGTTCAAGGACAGAATTCAAAGAGTTATTTTTACTTAATAATTTAATAAATTTTTAACTTCTTAGTATTAAGGCATTGTGTCTCTGTTACGGTAGTTATGACCTCAGTAGCTGCAAATAGTAGGGATTTGTACAGTGAAGCATAATAGATCAAATACTGTTGTCAAGCTAGTTTGTGGTATTACAAATCATGGTAGCTTTTTATCCTGTTACCTTCTTTAAAGCTTTCTGTGACATAACATATTTATTTTGCTGTACCATATATTGAGGCTGTAGGGCAAGTTTTAAGAAGGCAACCTTACTTTCCAGAGCCATGTCTTCAAATCTTCCTAGCTAACAATGCTTTTACATCTCTCAAGTTCCTTGATTTAAGTTCCTAATGTCTGTCTGTCTGTCTCTGTGTACACATGCGTAGAAGCAAAACTGTTTTAAAACAGTGTAAATGTGAATTACGTTCATGAAAAATGAAATATATATGTACCTATTCAGGTGGCAAAAAGAAAGAGAACAGTTCTGAATGTCAGAAATGGTGGCTTGTCTTAGGTCCTTGTAGCCTCTCTGTATATGCTTGTGTTGAAAGTTAAATGTATACATGCATTTAAATATCTGAAAATATATGTGAATTTAAGGCAACAAGTAAGAACATGGTTAATCATGTCAGCTTATAAGAGATGGGCACCTAAGGAGAGGTTGCAGAGACTAGAAATGACCATAGAAAAAGCTCAGCCGTGCCTGTGCCAGATGGACGGAGGCAAAGCACATCAGCTCTGGCCTGCTCTGGCAGAGTAGGCTTATTTTCAGCTAACTGAGTTAGGTGAAATCAAGCGAGTATTCTGCTCCTGGGAGGACGTAGCGTAACTGTCTTAACAGGTGATCTGGTTTCGCTGTTTTCTTGAATGAGAGGATTTTCAGCTAAAATGTAATTTGATTGAAAATTGTGTCTTTATACAAGCAGGATCTGTTGACGCTCTGATTAAATGCACAGATGAGGCTTATGACATCATATTATCAGATTCTTTCTCAATATGGTATTAAGAACAGCAAGATTAGTCTAAAATCAATCCACTGGTGGCTTGGAAGTCATTGGAAAAAGTGCACAGCAGGTGTAATTAATGCACAGTGTGATCCTTAATTCAGTGAGCAGATGTTCTGCTGTATGCGGAGCTAACAGCAGAGAAAGAAACCTGCTGCGGCAGCCCTGCTAAAAGGGAATGATGCGGTTCAAACTAGAGCCTTAAATCTTATTTCGGTGAGGAGTAGCCCGTACAAGATGTACAGGTGAAGTACTCCCCATCCAAAACATCATTCTCCCTCAAAATACTTTCCTTCTCGAAAATAGGAACACACAGAAAATTGTTCTAGTGTTGTTATCCAAGCATGCCTTCAGACCAAAGAAAGTAGGTGAGCAAGTAATAAAAGGAAAGATACGTGTGTTTATCAACCAACATGCTCTTCTGCTGGTACTCTGAGGTGTGGCAGGTGAGTAAGCAGTAAGTTGCAAGGAATGACGTAGTAGGAAATACAGGATAGCCACAGAATAGTGCTCCCAGTAGTCAGACATTCATGTCTTTTTAGAACAATAGAAACGTTGTGGTAAAACACATAAAGAATCTTATGACTGTTAAAACAAAAACATAAATTTTATCAAAAGTTTTAACTGGAACAAACGCCCCTAATTTAACATGTAACTTGTGACTGACAAGAGTAACCTTAATTACAAATATATCTCTCCCTAAATCTTGACTAAAACTTTTCCTGGTTGTCATTTATATTGAACTTCTCTAAAAGCAAAAAATCACAGCCCTTGGCCAGCTCAAAAAATATCTGGTGTCTAGCAAGCTCTGCAGCAGAAAGATCTTGTTGTTGGTTTGAGATCTTCATACAGCGTGTGTTCCCCAGTCACACCATGACAACAGTCCCCTGGCCTCCGTTAGGGCGAATGGGAACCTTGTGCCACTAATTCAAGAAAATCTGTTACCAAGCTGAAGTTACAGGCAATTGGAGGCTAGTAAGAGCGCTTGTGTTTCTTAAAAAGTTTTAACAATCAGAAAAAAAATGTAAAATTCTGCAACCTATTTCTAGGTGGATCCCTAGCTTTTTATTTTATTACCAAAATATTTGAAGTTCATGTAACACGATGTTAAATGGTGAAAGAAATGTGTATGTAAACCTGTATGAGAGAGATCTGGTCTGTGTCTTCATCAAGGATGTTATCTATGTATAGGTTCCTTGTTCTGCACCGGCTAAGCCTGAAAAGATGCAAGACTTGTAATTCTATCAAGGAGTGTCAAGAACTTAGTTTTAGTTTTAGGAAAGCTTGGTCTTGCTTTTAGCAAAAAGTGTCTAATGTTTCAGTCACGTTAAATTCTGGTATCTGTGTGCCTCCATCTGAACTGTGCACACATTATGTACCTGCATGTTGACTCCAAATCCACTCAAATGGCACAGACCAGATTTTTTTTAACCAGATGTTACATAACTAATTTGGGAATAAAGTAGTTTTAGTAGCAGCTACGATATTATGCCACATATTGGTCCATCTTTGAGAATACAGATTTAACTAGGCAAAAGCAGGGTAGTTGGTAGTCATAAATATATTGTAATATGTGTGCAGAGACAACGGGGTGGCTTGTTCTTCTTGCGTGGGGATTTAGTTTGTTTAAACCAAGTATATTGTCATTTGGGACTATGGGCGTAAAAACTGCTCGAAGATATCATAGCGTGCAGGATCTGGCTCTTGATTTAGATAGCAGTCTCGGTTTCCAGAATATCTCTGTACCGTATCTGACAACCTTCTTTCCAGCTTTCTTGGAGCTTCCACCACAAGTTACTAAAAAATCCCTCAGTCTTCACATTTAACTTATCTTCCAAAAAGGGGGAATGTGACACTTTTTTCCTATTTCTTGAGTGTGTGTGGACTAGCTCCTATTCTGAATTGCCTTTGTTTGGTTTTTTCTTGTTTTGATATGTGAACAGAATATAGGAGGGGAGATGCTGGTGAGAGATGTTGAGTATTCTTCTGTAAGTGCTACTGGTTGAAGGACATGATTTACTAACCCAAACTGTTGCATCTGCAATCACCTCTCTTCTGCTGTTGTTCAGGAAGACTTCTTCAGAAGAATAAATCAAATACATGCTTTGCTTTTGTTTTATAATTAATATCATTATTCCTAAAAGCAATCCCTGTTATTTTGTGATAAATTTTCTGTTCCGCTTCTTTAGATAAAACAAATGGCAACGCTAGAAATTAATGAACCATTCTTTTGGTTTAGAACATCAGGATAAACGTAGGAGCAGTTGCAAGATCACACCTTTTAGGAGCATTGGATAAAACAGACTCTCCTAAAGATTTTTGAGTTATTCAGCTGGGCAGTGATTTTAATCCAATATATTTTAATTTTTTTCAGGGTTCTTTGTGCAAATATTTGAGTCTCCACACCAGTGACTGGGTGAGCTCCTGTCGTTTGGCTCACTCTATAACCAGGGGCTTGGCGTACCTGCACACGGAGCTACCGCGCGGAGGTAAGGCTGGGAAGGGATGCCAAGATGTTCAAGATACTCTTATTTCCATCAGGTACTAGATTCATGCCTTTCTTTTTTCTCTGTGACAGTATGGTGAGTAGGAAGTGATGAATGCGAATAGAGATTACTCAGAACTTCTGATAGGTTCTTTCCTTCTGAACAGTCCGGTGTGGGCTGTGTCTGTGACGCTTACACGAAGCAGGGAGTGAGAGCCAGCAGAGCCCCAGGGACAGGCGGTGGGAGGAGGCCGAGCGGTGCTGTGCTGCTGTGTCATGGCAACACATTACTGAAGACCTGCAGCACTGGGTGTCTGTCTAGCGGAGAGCAAACAGATGGGGTGTTCTGTTTGTTTTTACAATTCAGACACAAATCACCCAAGCAATTTTTAGTTTGTGTGTGAACTGTATACACAAAGAGAAATAATTAATTCTTTTCACTCCACTGTAGTCTCATTTATCGTATCTATTGGTTATTTCATCTAAGGATGTGCGCCTGGTCTTCGCTTCATACAAACGATACTGCTGGACTTACAGTGTTTTTTTAGACCACCAGATGTGACACTGTATTTATATCTTTCTGTCTCTGCTTGCATGCTTCAACTGAAGCAGCTGAAGTGTCATGATTATAAAACAGATATTCTAAGATCTGTGATGTATCAGACTGCAGAATTTGGCCTGGCACTGAAGCATTAGCTTTTTGAAAGTAAATAAAAGGATGGTATCATTAATTCTACATTAAGGTGCTAATGTTTGCATCAAAATTCCCAACTATATATTTTCAAATGTTAAACATCATCTCAAGCAGAGGATGACAACTGAAGATGCTTTTAAAAGTGCAAGACTGAAAACACCTAAACCACTATTCCTGTGTGCTGTTGAAACGGCAGCTATCATCTTAACTTCATAATTTCGAAATGTGCAGACAGGTGTGTCCATTAGCAGCTAGAACATATGTAAACCTTCCATCATGAAGATGGGACAGCTGTAGGCTGGTCTATGGATGCTAGGAAGGAACTTGTGGAGTAAAATATATTCCACAGTAAAAACAGTTCTATAGTGCTAGCTGCTTTACTAACAAAATAAATGGCATATAAATTAGGAACCACTGAGATTATTCTTTGGAAAAGATCAGACCCCTTGCAAGATGAACATGTTGAGATTCTCTGGAATAATCCTGTCTATGTATCTTCTGCATAGGTGCCGATTCCAATCGTAGCGTAAATAGTTGGTGCGGTACTTGACAGAGGAGTGTGGATGTGAGAAGGGAGCGTTTGAGGTGGCTGTCAGGGCTCTGGCAGCAGGTCTGTGCTGAAGTACCTGACATCTCCCCTGCCAAAGTCATGCTGAACTATCCCTTGGAAAGAAGCTTGTTGGAAAAGACAAACTGTATATAGCAGTAGCATAATATATTGTATAGATACAGTAAAAGACTGAATATTATCAGTTTTCTATAGATAACATACTGTGGAGCTTATTATAAAGGAGCAAAAATGTTAACTTTCAAAAAGATGTTGACTTTCCGTTTGTAATAGCTGAGCAGACATAATGAGGTTTTCTCATTTTGCCAGACAGTAGAACTGCTCAAATAATAACAAGCACTTCCATATGTCCAAATAGACCACTACAAACCTGCAATATCTCATCGTGACTTGAACAGCCGCAACGTGCTAGTAAAGAATGATGGAACGTGTGTAATTAGCGATTTTGGACTCTCCATGAAGTTAACTGGAAACAGACTGGTACGCCCAGGTGAGGAAGATAATGCAGCTATTAGTGAGGTAAGTACAAATGAAGATAAACCAGTGCATAAAGGAAGACAAATTGGTACGAAAGTTGAGAAATAGTTGCTTCTGTTGTCACAAGGTGAATCTTAAGGCGGTACAATTCCCATGAGGGGGAGTTGCTGCGGCACGGGTGAGAAGTGGCTGAAATCCACAGGAGGAAACTGGTTTTGGTCTCAAAACACTGGAAGACAAACCTAGCATTTTGAAAAGTAATAGGTTGGCAGCCCTGGAGACTGAAGTTTTCTGTATGAGGTATGAGAAGGTGCAAGGTGCATTTGCTTGCCATGTTGTTTGTGATGATGTGGTGTGCAGACCCCTTCAGTCCTGTACTGCAGATATTAACTGACAACCAAACATTCTTTGGTGGTTTTGATGTTAATTTTTCTGAAATAGGGACATACCACACTCTGCATCCTACAGCCATTTCTCTACATGTCGTCTGCAATTCTCTGGACTTTAATGTGATACATCTGGGAGAGTAAGTGCGTGTAGAAAAGACAGGGACAAACTGAAAAAGAACAGAGACAAAATAACAAGGGGATGCTTGAAAGAATACCCTATGGGAAAGGATGAAAGAGTGAGGGCTGTTTAGGGAAATGAAGATAGAGACAGGTCTTCAAATATGTAAATGGCTGCTACAAAGAGAAAGGAACAAACTGTTTGCATTCAGTGTGGATAGGACAGGAGGTAAGGGGATTACATTGTGGGAGGAAAATTTGTATTAGTTACAAAGAAATCTTTCTAATCTGTAGGCAGCCAGTGTCTGGAATGGACTGCTGAGAAAGGCTATATAGAATTTGCATCGTTTTATGAATTTAAGGAACAGATTGGGAAAACATCTGCTAAGAGTGGGTTAGAATGGATTCTGGGTAGAAAGAAAAAAATTACTTAAGCTTTCTTTTTTATGATGCAGTGATTCAGAGAGTGCAGTTTTTGTTGCTGTTTTTGTGTAGGCATAAATACACTGATTCTTGAATATAGGCTACCGTAATGCACTGAGACTGTTTTAAACACTGCAAATTCCTAATGGTTCGTATATTCGTTGTCTTTGTGCTTTTACAGAAGACCATTGCATTTCATTCAAAGAATGTTTTTCGCAGTGCTAGTCACCTTCTCCCCCCCAAAAGCAAGTGCTGCATTAATAATATCTGCGCACAGGTCCTCTTTTCAGATCTCCCCTTACTGAACAAAGGAACGGGGAAACCAGTGTTTAAAATGTGAGGATGTTAAATAGTCCCGTGACAAAACACTATCCTACAGGTACTGATGAGTGATTATCCTAATCTAACATAGGTCCTGGTGGAAATGAAAGATACCTTCCAAGGCTGTTAATAATCTTTGACCATGGAGAGCCTTGCTGACAGTCAGGAAAAAAAAAAAAACAAACACTAACAAGACTGAAAGAACAAGCTTCTTGTTCAGCAGCATCCTCTTCCGTTACAATATGTGCCTTGGTGTTTACCAGAGTAATTTTGGGAAAAAAATTTAAAATACATTTCTGCTGTATCATATTGCATCTAACAGCATTGAGTAAGGGACACTATTGTTTTGGTACATACAAAAAAGCAACAGAGCAAGGGAAGAGTTTTATTATGACTAGGCTCCTGATAAGAGACTAAAAGCTGAGGACATTGAATAGAAGCAAACTGCATTTTCCTTAACTGTATAAAATATAAAACAAAGTAGGGTACTAAAAAATAAGTAAATTTCTGTAATAAATTAAATTTGGAAATTTCTTCCTGATGTGAAGCTTTGTTTTTATGTTTTTCCAGGTGGGAACGATCCGCTATATGGCCCCAGAGGTGCTTGAAGGAGCAGTCAACTTGAGAGACTGTGAATCTGCTTTGAAACAAGTAGATATGTATGCGCTGGGCCTTATCTACTGGGAGATATTCATGAGATGTACAGACCTCTTCCCAGGTAACTAAAAAACAATGGAAAAAATGTAATAGTAGAAAGAGGTACCAACAACCAAAGCTGCTGCCCAGCCATAGCTTTTTAAAAGCAAAGACGGGACATAATTTCTCAGTTGTTTTTGCCATTAAGTCGGTGCCATCTAGTGTTCAGGATGATTGTTGTCAATACTCTCAATATTGGTGAGTGAAGTGTGGTTCTTCGTACTGAAAGGCTTTGAATTACCTGTTTAAGCAGTTTGCAGGCCTCACGCTAAGTGCAATTTGAGCATTATTGTTATTGTGCAGAGTTGGGCTGATGGCAAAGGCAGTACTTTGAGTTCTTGGAACTGATAAAAGTGCCTGAAATGTCTTTCAGACTTCCCTCATGAAAGAATGGATGGGAAAGTGCTGTAATTTAATGTAGCCTTTAGTCAGTCATACTTTTATTTATGCTCATGACATTGAAAATTCAGGGAAAGCTGCCATACCTGTAGCATAAACCAAGAAGAATTAGACTTAAAATTTAGCACAGGAGATTGTGTCACAACCACCATCTTCTTCCTAAGATAGAGTATATAGAGTATAATCTGCAGCATTCTGTCTGCAGTCAAACAGACACACTTTATGTGCAGAGACTTAGAATCTCACTGGGCTTCCTCTCAACTGAAGTACATGAATATATTCAGTCAGCTCCTCTTCGCAGAAATTTGGTGTCTTCCTCAGGCTCTGAGGCATTCTGACTGTGCCACTCAACCAGCAAGATTTGAAGATGCTGTCCTTTGAGAGACTGCTGAACAACAATGAATTCATTTGCAGTTAATTCAGCTTTTCTTTGTGAAGTTGCACTTTAGGGAAGAGGGGGGAACATCTCAATAGACAGCAACTTTGATACTAGCTTTCATCACCTGAAAGCCATTGCTCTGCCTTTTAATCTGTAATTTTTTAATTTTCTTTCTTTCTTTTGCTAACAGGGGAATCTGTGCCAGAGTACCAGATGGCTTTCCAGACAGAAGTCGGAAACCATCCCACTTTCGAAGATATGCAAGTCTTGGTGTCTAGAGAGAAGCAAAGACCAAAATTCCCAGAAGCGTGGAAGGAGAACAGCCTGGTGAGAAGAGAATATTTTCAACAATCATTTAACCAGCTATAGGGCGTACTCACTTCTTAAAAGCAATTTTTTAATACTTTTGTTTGTGGTTCTGGTTTTTTTACTTTTTATTAGTATTTAAGGATTGGGAGCTGCTTCTGTCTGGACTTCCAAAATATTGAATTCGGGTTTTAAAACACCATTACCATGAAAGCTGGAGTTGTTTTAAGGGAAAATACTATTATTATTGGATGCTGAATTGTGATAGGCAGAAGTTAACTTGTTATATTAATTATTCAACAGTATCTGTAGTATCATGCATGAAGTGCCCATATGTTCTCTGTATGCTGGTTCAGAAACATAAAGGCATTTTCTGCCTGTTGATAAACTGATAGCACCCTCATTTAGTTGGCAAGAAAGTACATGTACTCTCCCAGAACTAAAATCTACAAACATTGTAATAAACTTTTTCTGCAGTTGTATAATCCTCAGAATTCACAGGGGCTACAGCTTCTAGCAGTCGTTGCATGAGAAATTTTATATGACTTCATTTGATCTGCAATTTTTATTTTCAAGACTATAAACATGGTAATGTTGTTTGCTGTTTTGAATTAGCCTAGCTGCGGTTTAGAGCCTTGCTTGCTGCTGCAGCACAACAAGTTACAGCAAGTCAGCTGAACTCTTATCAGAATCTGTCTGTGCGCTTGCTTTCATTTGCAGCAAAGGTGAGGTAACGCGAATGCCCTCAGCTTAGTGGGGCTTCTTTGTCTTTTATTACAAGCAAAGTGAAATGCAGTCACTGCGTTCCACCTGATACACGGTAACTTGTTTAAGCTAAAATAGCTCACTTGCCAGTATGAAAATAACATATTTGACTCTTATTTAAAAAGACACTTATAGTTGTTCCCACACTGAAATTATGCCCTTCAATCTTCAGAGACTTCGCTAGTTGATGGTGTGTAGCTGCTGTGCAGGTAATGGGGGGGCCTAAGGCCTCACCTGTGCTGCTACGTGTAAATACCTGTGAAAACATTTTCAGAGAGGAACATAACCTCTAGTATTAGCACTGTTGTAAAACACGTTGTAACTGAGTTGATAGCTTCATAGAGACATTCTTTTATTACACAGTTTTGGCCAGCCAGTCTTGGCGGGGGGTGAGTGGAGAAGAAGAGGAAAAAAAAAATCCATGCCCAAACTATATAGGAAATCAAGCAGCAACTGTTTTAACTGTAGCCATGTTGGCAAATGTTATGCTGGAAGAACCAAGCTTGACAGCTGTTTTCGAAGCAAGTTATAACTAAAACAGTTCAAGAAGGCTTGTTTTGTTTTGCAGACTAATGTTCTAATAAGCTGATAGACTCCAGCATTATTAGACACTGAGCTATTGATGATCCCTGTACTTAAACTGCCCGACACATTCTTTGTGTTGTCACTAATTTTTTTTTTTTGCGAAAATTCGAAATAATAATAGTGATGATGATGATGATGATAAGTCCAGCTCTAAGGAATGATCTACATAAATGCTTTAAGAGAAGAGAAGAATAAATAAAAAATCTGTGATTCTCTCATGGGTATCAAACACCCTACTCCACCCCCTGCCAGTCTGGGTTAACATCTGAATGAGTGCTCTAGGGGAGCTGCTGTAGAAAACCAAGCTCCATATTACCTCATCCTGGACCCAGGTCCTAACCTCCTTTATCTAATGCATGGGATAAAAGACTTCTGTCCATTAAAGCTATGCCAGCGTGTTGGGTTATAAGACTTTCATGCACATTCATCTATTAGAGAAGTGTACTTGCCCTTTTCATTTGAGAAGTACAAATAAAAAGCAATGTTTTCTTTTTTCAGATCACATAATTAAGGCTCTGAAACGATGTGGAATCCTAAATTTATGATCACCTGTGCAACCTCAGTCTTCTTCTTGAACAAATGTATTATGATACAGACCTTGTTTAGCAGCATTGTTTTTCACAATATAAATCAACAATCTGAGCAAATGATATGCATAAAATAATTCAAGGTCTATAAACTGAGTACAGATTTTAGCAACATTCTTGCTTCATTTGCCCAAAGTTGACTTTAAAAGTCGGGACTGAAGAACAGAATAATGCAGATTGCCTGTCTCTTCTGTCTTTTTAATGAGTGCTAGAACTTCTAAACAGTGTGTTTGAGTATAGAATCACAGAATGTCAGGGGTTGGAAGGGACCTCTAGAGATCATCTAGTCCACCCCCCCTACCTGAGCAGGATCACCCAGGGCAGCCACACAAGAACGCGTCCAGGTGGGTTTTGAATGTCTCCAGAGAAGGAGACTCCACAACCTCTCTGGGCAGCCTGTGCCAGGGCTCTGTCACCCTCACAGTAAAGAAGTTTCTCCTCATGTGGAGGTGGAAATTCCTGTGTTCTAGCTTATCCCCATTATTCCTTGTCCTACTATTGGGCACCATCTGAAAGAGACTAGCACCTTCCTCTTGACATTCCCTCCTCAGGTATTCATATACATTAATAAGATTCCCTCTCAGCCTTCTCTTTTCAAGACTAAATAGCCCCAGTTCTCTCAAGTCTGTCTTCGTAGGAGAGATGTTCAAGTCCCATAATCATCCTCATAGCTCTCTGCTGGGCTCTCTCAGTAGGTCCCTGTCTCTCTTGAACTGGGGAGCCCCAAACTGGATACAGTATTCCAGGTGTGGTTTCATAAGGATATAGACTGAGCTGAAAAGTTAAACCTGAAATTCATAGAAAACATATTCCTATGGTAAATGAGAAGCTCTAGAGCTTCATTTTGATAACTGTGGACACAGACATCACTGTGCTTCTTACATGATCCTTAAAACATCAAAAGGAAATGTTCACCTAGAAGAGAGACAGTATTAAATTAAACACTGGTTAAATTTACTGCTGGTGAAACCTTTAGGGAAAGTCTTATGAAGGGGCAAGGTAGGAGATTAATGTGTCCACTGACTTAGATGGGTCTAAGTTGTGACTAAATTAAGTCCTAAAAGCTAAATGAAGGCTTTTTATCCTGGGAGAGAAAAAGGATCCAGTATGCTATCCTGTCCTTGCCCCTGGGGGTTCTTTTAGACTCGTGTCCCTCACGCAGTTGCTTAGCTGAGAGCTGACCTGCCGCGGTGAGGGAGATGAAAGGTTTGCTCTTGTGGCAGCTGATCCCACCTGTGCAGCCACAGCTTCGTCGCGCAGCAGCAGGGACTTGCCAGATGCAAGTGATGACAGGAGCCTGCTCTGCGGGTGAGGAGCTCTTGGCCAGCGTGCAGAGCGAGTCCTGGCTCTCGCTGCCAAAAGCGAATGAGGCAGTTCTGGCACGGAGGCAGGCAGCAGGACCCACCGAATGGCTTCGTGCCCAGCTGGGACTCCGCACACTCGTTGGTGCTGGAAAGGTTAAAGCTGGGCTGTAGGTGTGAGCTGTCTGGCAAACCATGTCCTATCCATGGGCCCTGGTTTGGCAGCAGGAGCCAATAGATGTCTGCCTGGTTTTTGTACTCCAGATGCAGTAGAAGCAGAAGCGTTCAGTGCTCGTAATTTCAGTTGTGGCCTCCTCCAGTCTCTGACCATATGGCCGCACATTTTGTAGGTCTTGAGCTCTCATTCTGACTGCATCATTCACCCCACAGTGTGGTCCCAGGAAAGCGTCTCTGTTTCTGCTTCTCCATCTGTAAAACAAGGGCAGCAATAATCTTCCTTAGGGCAGACAAATTCGCTGATATTTATGAGGCGTTTGGATGTTACAGTAGTGAATGGAGGCAGAAGAGCACGACTAAATGAGCAAGGCTGTGTTATTTGCATCCAGTGGGGGGAAGCAAGGCAAGGACCTTAGCTGAATTGTGAGGGTGACAATGACAGCATTCCCAGAGTATCCTCAATCCTTAGTATACAGCTTTCAAAAGGCAGGCAGAGCAAGCTGACCGTGCACACGTATATCAGAGAGGGCTGGCTGGGGCTTGTATGGGCACTGGTGAATGCAGCTTTTCCTAAGGAATTGTCTTCCCAGTCGCATTGTGTGAGCTATAGTAATACTAGTCCGGCATATTGCTGGGCTTAGGGCTTTGAATGAAATGGTGTCTCTTCTGTTTCTCACCAGCTATTTTCACGCATACAGAATGCTGTCATAAAACAGTAAAAAATAAATATAAAATGATATAAAGGGAAAATAATTTAAGATAAAGTAGTTTTCTCTGTTTGTCTCCTGGCAGGCTGTGAGGTCACTTAAAGAAACAATTGAAGACTGTTGGGATCAAGATGCTGAAGCTCGACTAACAGCGCAGTGTGCCGAGGAAAGGATGGCAGAGCTCATGATGATTTGGGAGAGAAATAAATCAGTTAGTCCAACGGTCAACCCTATGTCAACTGCCATGCAAAATGAGCGGTAAGAAGGAAAACATTTGGTTTTAGTCAGCGGCAAATACCCAATGCAATGCTCAGTTCACTCCAGGAAGGAAGCTAGAGCATGCTGCTAGCTTAATATTTCTGTACCCGTGAAGCAGGTGTGTGTTACATGAGCTAGTCTGCATATGGGTATGATCCTGACTGCTCGTGTTCTTAAGGTCCCCTGTGTGTCCCCAGAGTTCAGGCACCTTTTATTTAAACAACTGCACTTCTCATAGAGGGGCCTTTTAAGCTGAACTTGTGCAAACTATCTAAACAGGCTTGCAAAGATACAACGTGGCTATGAATTGCCTTTCAGGACTCTTGCTAAATGATGCATAAAACTTCTGTTTCAAATGTTCTGCTAAAAACTGTGAATTTACAGGCAATACGAGTTCAGGAAATTACCGAGTCTCAAACCTGTAACTTTTCAGTTAGAGAACCGCAGGGCCATAGTTTAAGTCATCGTTACTCTGACCCCAGAGAGAGAAGTACTGCACATCGTCTGCCTATATATAATCCAGGGGGAGTGAGAATTTGCAGAACTGACATTAGTGCTTAATATTATACGCTGTTTGAGAGATTTGAGAGAAGAGTACTGTTGCTGTGTGTGGCAGTGTGTACTGTAATGAAAAAAATTGTTCAAATCATAGAATACCTGAATTGTTAAAAACAGTGGTTTTTTCATGGTTTAAGACCTTGTGATCTACAAGAACTCCACACGCAAGATGGAAAAAGCGATGCTGGGAAAAAGATCCCAGCATCGCTTTTTCCATCTTGCGTGTGGAGTTCTTGTTGCCTCCCTTTAGCATCACTCCTCTGTAACTAGAGCAGTGCCCCTTAGCAGTGAACTGGACAAACAGCATATTGGTCAAATAGAAGAAAATTCCTGTTATCCAACTTAGTTGTGTAAATACCACCCATGACAAAATTGCTGTCCTACTAAAACCAATTTTCTGCTACCCATAATTTTTCAAGGAGATTACTGAAAAGATCTCAGTTTTTTACTATATCTATCCTTAGTTTATACATGAAAAGAAACAGCAATATATTCTGCTCTCTTAAATGAGAGGCTTTATAATCTGAGATGATTCTTACATATGTGATCTTAATATTACTTCTTTTTTCTTAAAGGAATCTGTCGCATCATAGACGTGTATCAAAGATAAGGCCATATCCGGATTACTCTTCCTCTTCCTACATTGAAGATTCAATCCACCACACTGACAGCATAGTGAAGAACATTTCTTCTGAGCATTCAATGTCCACTACACCACTGACTTCAGGGGAAAAGAATAGAAACTCCATTAACTATGAGCGACAACAAGCGCAAGCTCGCATCCCTAGTCCTGAGACAAGTGTCACCAGTTTGTCCACCAATACTACCACCACCAATACAACTGGTCTCACTCCTAGCACTGGCATGACCACCATATCCGAAATGCCTTATTCGGATGAAACAAACTTACATAGTGCAAACGTCATGCAGCCAGGTGGGCCCACCCCTGTTTGTCTGCAGCTAACAGAGGAGGACTTGGAGACAAATAAATTGGATCCAAAAGAAGTGGATAAGAACCTGAAAGAAAGCTCTGATGAGAATCTGATGGAACATTCACTGAAGCAGTTTAGCGGGCCAGATCCACTCAGCAGCACTAGTTCCAGCTTGCTTTATCCACTGATAAAACTTGCAGTAGAGGTGACAGGACAACAGGACTTCACACAAGCTGGCAATGGTCAAGCGTGTTTGATTCCAGATGTCCCATCTGCTCAGGTCTATCCTCTGCCCAAGCAACAGAACCTTCCGAAGAGGCCTACTAGCCTCCCCCTAAACACCAAAAATTCAACAAAGGAGCCACGGTTAAAATTTGGTGGCAAGCACAAATCAAACTTGAAGCAAGTGGAAACAGGCGTTGCCAAAATGAACACTATCAATGCTGCAGAACCTCACGTTGTCACAGTTACCATGAACGGAGTGGCCGGGAGAAGCCACAGCATAAACTCTCATGCTGGCCCAGCCCAATACGCCAATGGCACGGTGCCATCTGGCCAGACAACCAGCTCAGTAGCGCAGCGGGCCCAGGAAATGCTTCAGAACCAGTTCAGTGGAGAGGATAGTCGCCTGAATATTAATTCAAGCCCTGATGAGCATGAACCCTTGTTGAGGCGAGAGCAGCAGGTTGGCCATGACGAAGGTGTTCTGGACCGCCTAGTAGACAGGAGAGAGCGACCGCTGGATAATGGCCGAACAAATGCCAATAACAACAACAGTAACCCGGGTCCAGTGCAAGACACAGCTACAGTCAGTATCCAGAATGTAGTGAGAAATCCTGGGCAGACCCAGACTAGAAGAGCACAGAGGCCTAATTCACTGGATCTATCAGCTACGAATAGTTTGGATAGCAGTAGTATGCAGTGTAAGTGCCTGCAGGACTTGAACAGTTTCCCTTTTACGTAATAACTATGTATATCCGCTTGAATAGAAAATATTTCTTTCTCTCCTGTCCCTCTTCAAAGCATACTTAGTAAATCAAATATAAATTTAATTTCCATCTGCACAGTTTCAGTCTTTTTAATAAAGTCCTGTCTCCATCAGCTCCAGCATGTGAGACCACTATCTTCCTTCCACATACATGGAATAAGTCTGTCCCTTTATAACCTATTTGCTCTCACTCTAAGAAGAGAGCAATTTTTTAACTTCTGTTATTCCTTGCAAGGCAGCTTGGCAGCTGCAAAGCATATTGAAAAAGCTTCCTACTTCTTCCTTCAGGGGCATGTTACACCTTCTTTTTCTTACTTTTCCTTAACCTCTTAAGAGTTGCTGGCTCTAAGATGCATTGATTGAAATAATTTATTATGGTAACTACTTATATGCTTCATTACCTTTAAAGCAACTGATTTTACTGTATTAGCCCAGCCTAGATGGAGGGTCATGCATTCTCTACTCTGCTACCTGAGCTCTAACAATTATAGCAATCCTTTGCGAGGGTTGCTATGTACATATTAAAAATTAGTCAAAGTAGTTAGAAAAGGAATCAGTTTTAATAGACTCTTTCTACAGGAAAAGATCATAGGAAGTTACAGTGGCACTCTCCTTTTTGTAGTAAGAATGTAATTGTGTAATTACAGTTAAATTAGGAACATCCTCTGAGTTTGACTGCGGGTCTGTTGGAGCTGTTGAAAAGGTCTCCTGGTGTGCATTTTAAAGAGAATATATTTCCAGAATGTACCGTGGTCTTTAAAAGGTGCTTGCAAACCTCTGTTTAGACAGGTGCTGCGATACTAGTGAAATAAGCTGGGGTGCCAGGCACATTTGGAAGGAAAAAGTTTATAAACAGACCAGAACACATCTTTCAAGAAATGTAGTTGAATATTCAGCTGTGGAATGTTTTAAACCTTCCCTTTAAGTAAGAAATCTTAATTTTTATCTTAACTTGTTGAGTTGAAGTCTTACTGAGGTAAGGAAAAAAGATTATTGCAGCAGCCTTCTTTAACTGAAGGCTAAGTTAAATGGAAGGGTTTGAAATTATATAAAGTGACAAGTTTTTTAACTATCCGATTGTTACTGCTGAAATTTTATCATGGCTAAAGGTGATTTTGCCAGTTTTGCAACCCAACATCCCAAATCCTGAGTTAAGATCTTAACAGAGAATGGTCCATTTGGTCTTCAGTTGAAATGCTTTGCCAGGTGAAATGGGATGAGGAGACCTACAATTTAATTATGCAGTTGAAAGTTTAGCCTTTGCCGTCCTGTAGTAGCAACAATTTTTTGTACCTCCCATTACACGTAATATAAGATACTGTGGTTGCGAAAGCCCCTCAAATGTCAGATACTGATTCGCTGTTTGATGCCAATGTGCATTCAAAGTGACACAAATGACTTCACTGAAGTAATTTCTGACAGAAAACAGAATCTGATCCCTTGTTTTAATGGCAGGTGCTGGTACATCTGCCATGCCTCTGCCACACGGGTGCTTTTGTGTGATAAGATTTTGTTCTGTTTTGCATGAGTCACAACCCTGGGCTCTTCAGACCTTTATCCTCCTTGTAATACTATTCTCAACTCTTTTTTGTTTGTTTGTTTGTTTTGGGTTGTTTGGTTTTTTTTCTCCAGTAGGTGACTCCTCACAGGATGGCAAATCAGGCTCAGGAGAAAAGATCAAGAAGCGTGTGAAAACTCCGTACTCACTTAAGCGGTGGCGTCCTTCAACGTGGGTCATCTCCACCGAGCCGCTGCACTGCGAGGTCAACAACAACAGCGGCGAGCGGGCAGCCCACTCCAAATCCACCACTGCCGTGTACCTTGCGGAAGGAGGCACTGCCACCACAATGGTATCTAAGGACGCAGGAGTGAACTGCCTGTGAAACACTTTAAAAGCCAACAAATGACCTTTTTTTTTGCATTATTTGAAACAAAAACACACAGAAGACATTTAAAAAAACTGCTTTCTCCTCCTGTCAGCTACCCCTCCCAAGGACTCGCTTAAAATAGATTTCAGCTATGCAGAAAATTTTTAGCTTATGCTTCCGTATTTTTTTATTTTCTTTTTTTTTTTAAAACATTTTTGCACTTTTATTTAGTATCGCTAAAGTTAAGTCTGTCTGTTTTGACCACGGAATATATATATGTGTATCAAAAATGTGGTCTCAAAATATTTTTTTAAAAAAAGTAACAAAAAAAAGTATTGCTGATAATCAGTTTGGACCAGTTTCTTAAGGTCACTAAGATCACAAGCAGACTATAAGACAGGTTTGACTGCAGTGGTGTCTTGTAACCATGTTTTGATTTCTGTGCACAAGCTAGTCTGTATATTTCTATGTTACAAAGTGTATTTTGTTTTGAACCCCTTATTTTTCTTGTGTCATGTTGAAATGTGCAATAGTCTATAGTTCACAGTATGCTTTATTGAAAAGTGTGTTTCTAAAACTGCTACATGTTCCCCTTTTTTATTTGTTAATTTTTCCCTCACAGTTGAGCAGTCAGCCGGTCATGACAGTGAATTTTGCACACCATAGCCAGCTTGAAGCAGCTGCCTATATCACATTGTGCTCTGAGGTGACAATGCATGAATTTTCCTCAACTTGAAAGGGCTTTTCAAAAGGAACAAAAAGACACCAAAAAAAAATCTGAGCTCAGTACCTTTTTTTTTTGATCTTTCCAAATCTAAATATGTTTCCTTTCTAGTAGTAAATGCCAGCCTGTGACGTTCTGAATAACAAAACACTGAACAAATGTAATGAAACGACATCAGCCATATTTTCCATTTTATTTCGAGTGCAGTTTCACCCCCAGCATTTATGTAAAACCTGATTCAGATCACTAATGCTGTACCTTGAAAAAGACATTTTATTCAGAAGTCTTAATAACTGTCATACATAAAAGCTCTAGTGAAGATAGGTTACGAAGGTATTTTGTTTACAGAGAGGAAAAATCATGAATCTTATTTGGCACGAAACCAGTTTGTGATGAGTCGCAAATCTTTCCTGATTTACCTCCTTACAGACAGTCTGGGGTAAAATCAGCCCGATTATTTATGCAGGTAGGTGCAATCCTAATTGACTGTTGTTGCTGAGTTGAGTTGATACGCATCCTCCCTTCAGAGTTTTTAGAGCCCCTCATTCATCTTTTTGAAATTTATTGCATGCTTTTAAAATTCATAGTGATGAGTGTTTGTTTGCGCGAGAGGGTTGGAGGGGTTTTCCCTCTGCTTAGACCCTCTCGTTTTGTACGCACATTGATTTTAGCTGTCAGTGAACATGACTGTCATATCTATCGAGATAAATGTTCTTTCACCATCTCAAGTACGCCTTACTTTTTTTAAATTTTTTAGAATGATTGTTTTACTGTCTACTGAAAGAGAATTAATTTCCTTATTGGTCAGGACCTCCTTCCACCTAAGACATAAACTTCCACCTGAAAAATATTCTTACTGATTGAAAACACTTCAGTAAAAACTATTTTATTTAGATAAAAAAGATATAACACATGTCAGTCTTTGGTACTGAGTAAATTTTTATCACCTTACCTGGAAACTGGTGAAAGAAAGAAAATCTATTCAGTCAGCCTGCCAGATTCCTGTGGCACAATACTGGCAGCAAACAATTGCCTCCCCCATGCTGCATCCTTTCAGCTGCTTGAAACAGATGCTCTGTGCTTTCAAGCTCATTTGTTTCTTTGCCGGTACATTATTTTCCCCCCGACATAAACTTTGCAACCCTGTTCTTCTGTATCTGGTGATACAACTGCATAAGAGATGCCTTGCTACATCTGATTCTTGCCGTTTCCCAAACTCCCTTGTTTGTATTTGATTGCCATGATTTTCTCCTATAATGCTTTTTAACATTTCTTAGATTCTCCTAGATCTCTCCAAGAGATAACTCTCTAAATCTAGACTTTTTGATGAAGTGTAGTTGTAGAAATACAAACTATGAGACACATTTTGGCCTCCTGTGTTCTTTCAGCACCAGTTCAAGTAGTACTTTTCATCTCCAAGGTGTGGTTCTGTTGCCCACCTGTATAAATACACAGTTGTATCTCATCTCTTCAAAAATACAATCTTTCTCTGGATTTACTTTTAATTCACTCTTTGGCTTCTCATCTGCTGCAATCTCTCATCCCAGATATTTCAAACCTGTCAGTTACTCAACTGGATTCCAAGACCTGAATCGGGGTTTTTGGTGTTCATAACGCCAGCTGTGGTTTTCCTCTCTTCTGCCCTTTTTTGAGTCTCCATTTGACGTACAGCGTGTTGGTGTGTGATCATCACTGTATCGTGCATACTTCACTCCTTTCCCCATGACTTTGTGCTTTGCCTTGCATGTATCCCCTATCAGCATTTCAGAATGTGGGCTGAAGAGTGTGTTTAGGACACTCCTATCTCATGTGAAACACTCTGGGGAGAGAAAAGTTATTTGCTCTGACTGCTGCTGCTTTCTGCTGAGACAGATTTGCACCCATCTTCTAGCCTTTCTTTTCAGGCCAGTCCTGTGTTAGAAATCCAACTTCTTTATGCTCAGTGCAATCAAAATCATTTTAATATCAGGTGAAAATGTTCTTCTGCAGTTTTCCTTAAACATTCTTAAAGCAAACATAATAGTTTCTTTATCTATTTCTATCACTTGCTGGAAGGCCTTTGGGATGAATTACAGTTAGTAGAAAGTATTAGCATTGTAATCTACCATGGATAAATATAATATGTAATATGATAGAAATATGTACTTTATCACAAAAATACCCTATAGATTAAATAGAGAAAAATTATTTATTTTTCAAGATCAGTCAAAACAAACTCTTTAGTAGGTACCAAAATATTGCAGTTCTGCACAGCTAGATGAGATCAGGTAAGCAGTTTGGTTTTAATGCTTAATTTAGTAATGCCCTTTTTTTGCTCACAGCACATAATCCACTCTCCACTAAATGTTTTCTCTGTAAATTAAATGATACTGAGTTATATCTCATACAATGGGGATTCATCCTTAACCAAACAGAACGCACGGAAGAGAATTTGACAGATCCAACACATCGATAGGTGATAAGTGTACTGTAATTAGGGGAGGCAAATGCATTTTATGTCTTCGTGGGTGTTGGGGGGTCTTTTTAAGAAAAAAGGATGATGAAAGTTGATAATTTTCTATCAGTTTCTCATGTATATGCCAGACAAGATAAATATAGCAAAATTAAGCTAGAACAATAGTGTAAATACCTATGAGTTGTGCCACTGTCAAATAATCAACAGTAGAATATTTGCTATGATAATCTATAATGTGTAATTCAAGTAAAATGTTAGAGCAGACATTTGTGATGTTTGTATATATAAGCCAAAATCCAAAATCTTACTGGTTGTAGAAAATGGTGTGCTAGTACAAGCCAGAAGAGTTACTTAGGTTAATGCCATGTCTTTTTTTCTGTTTCCCATAATAAAAATACTCGCCAATGTAACAGGGTTTTGAGAATGTGAATTTTAACCATTCGAACAGACATGCCTCATAGTCAAGATTTATTTTTCTTCTGAAGTTGGCATTTAGAAGCCAGATTATCTGCAACACTTCCCCTGACTTTGCTTATAATGTTCCATAGCTTCACGTGCTAAACAATTAGTATTCAATTGCCTTTCTTGAAACTCCCAGATGCACTTAAATGCACAGCTAAAGGTAAAGGAATTCCTGACTGAAAAGAAAAACAACTGGTATTGTCATCATCAGAATATTCTGAGAAACGAAGAACATTTCTCTTTGTGCTTTGCTTTCTTACTGCTGTTCCATATAGAAAATTACGTAATTTTCAAAGGCAACACAGTTTCATTTTTTCAAGTGCACTGGGGACACAAAACAATGCAAAACCGATGCTGGCAGGTGTCAAGAAACAACCAACCAACAAAAAAACCCTACCTTCTAAATATGTTCAGAAAGTGTGTATGTGCCTACCTGTCAACTTTCTCTAAAAGAAATCTTTAATCCTGCCTGCCTCAGAGAGGAGAATAAGGAAGTTCTGTGTTTGTATGGAATAGATTATTGGGCCAACTTTAATAATAATGAATTGTTACTTTAAAAATATATATGTATACATTTTATATGCCATAGTTTCAGTGCTCAATGCATTTTCCTCTAATGATAGTCCTTTTTTAAATGTTAAAAAAATAGTCTACTAATATAATGTTATTAAGTCGATGTTCAGCTTATAGTTTTCTTTCATGAAAAAATCAAAAGATCATAACCATTCAGTCACTGAAACATTATTTTGGAATGTTCCCTCCTAATTACGGAGAATTTTAAAATTCACATATTTAGTCAATACAGGAGAAATTAATTATGCTAACTAATTTTTGCCTGGATAAAAATGATGGCAAGTTCCCTTTGCTGAAACAGGCTGGTTTTAAGTCATAAAAGTAAGAACTGCTGAGCACAGTAGCATGTACATGACCTGATGCCTAATTGGAAAATTTGGAGCAGCTTATAAAAAAAAAATTGCAATAGGATTGATTAGTCTATGAAAGTTGGATTAGAAAGACTGGACAACTTAGTATTTGGCATAAATTCAGATTATTTTAATTTTGTTGTCTGGTCTCCCACTATCCATTTTAACAGGTAAATATATTAACCTCCTTTTTTAATATGCTTATTATTTTTTGTTCAACTTCAAGCTTTCTTCAGTGAAAAAGCTATTCATATTGCAGTGAAGCTAAATATATATTTTTATGTAAACTCTGTATTTATTTAGATGCATATGTATGTTGTGCTAAATTCCAGGATTAAATTCTGTGAGTTACAGCATCAGATGGTAGCACTGGTAGCAAGTATAATGTTCTTTTTCATATGCCAATTTTAAGTTGCCTTTAGTGCATCACAGTAAAATCAGGATCAGACTGTGACATATAGTGCAGTCGTGCAAGGTCTCCCACGACAGACTTGTCACCAGTTGTTCAGGTGGGATAGAAGCCGGGAGGAGAGAGTGTGAGCTGGGAATGCGCATGATAAACTTTATCTGAAGCTGAGTAATTTAAGGTACCTCTCTCAAAGGTCAAAAGATAACCCAAAATACTTACTGCATAATCATTTTTACAAGGCTTTTTTTATGTCGTAGCTATAGTTACGTGTGGCTGCTGTTTAAACGTAGTATTTTAGCTCATTAAATCCAATTACATTTTAGGCTTCTATACCATCACCTAAAACACTAGCTGTAGAAATACATCCCTTTTTCTGATCCCACCCACCCCCAAGTAGGTTCAATTTTGATGTGAAATAGTAACAAATCAGATTTCTTATTTTGAGATTTCTTCCATAGTGACTAAAATTAGTAGCAAAACTTCCACTTCTGCAGATACCAGGTTTAAGCACTCCCGCAAATCACAATGCCGGCAGCATTCGGCTCCGGCACACCTGAGGAAATTGCCATCTCATCAGCCAGCACTTGAGCTGACCCCTGTTGAAGTTGAAGAGGAGCCTGCATTGATTGGGAGCAAAGGAGGGTTAAGTTCTGCTTGTAGCAGCTTGAAAAAATTCCTTGAGAGGATTGGCCCTGGGAAAGCCAAGGTGGAACATGGGGCCGTGTGGGCAAACCCCGGCTACTGGCACTTGCAGGGCATTTGCCGATGCCTCGGCTCGAGCCG